TGGAAGAGTGGGAAACAAGGTTACATCAGGACCAGTTGAGGGAGGCTAAATGTGTAGCCTAGAGAAGAAAAAACTCAGAAGGAAGCATAGGGAATTCAAACACCGTCTGCAAATGTCAAGGGGTTGTCCTATGTACAACTCTCCTGAGTCTAAGAGATAGAATCAGGGAACATCATAAGATATAAAGAAACAGATTTCACATCAATATGGGAAAGAATTTAAGTCCGTTGTCCACGATGGAAAGGAGCCCTGGTGGCGCAGCGGTTAAAGCACTCAGCCGCTAACCAAAAGGTCGGCGGTTCAAACCCACCAGCCGCTCCACGGGAGAAAGATGTTTGGCAGTCTGCTTCTGTAAAGATTTATGGGCTTGGAAACCCTATGGGGCAGATCTCTGTCCTATAATGTCTCATTGAGTCAGAATCAACACAATGGCAATGGGTTTGTTTGGGTTTGGGATCCACAATGGAATCGACTGCTCTCGGGTTAGTAAACTCATTATCTACTGGACAGTCTTTTGTGGCAGAGGGGGGTCAGGCATCTAATGACTGGAATGTAGGGGTGAGGGATAGAGGGATTGAATTTAATTGACCTGCATTGCTTTCCAACTCTGTATAGTTAGTTGGGAGGGGTGCGGCAGATTTACTTTCCTAATTGTGCTTAACATGCTGAGGCAAGTAGCTAATGGCCTGGAATTCAGCATTTGCCAAAGCTAATCTACTAAAGTTGGTCAACCCTAAAATCCTATGAGGGAGGATTGAGAAGGTTTGGATCTCTGTGCCCACCTTTACGAAGACACAGGATAAAATGGCAGGAAAAAGCAACAGATCTGGATTTACACAGACCTGGGCTCAAATTTTAGTTCACCCACTTGCTATGTGATCCAGGGCAAATGTTACTTAAGCTCGCTGAGTCTCAGTTTCCTCATCTGTAAAATAAATGTGATAAATCCTGTCTCTTGGGGTTGTTTGACGATTATATGAGCTAATAGCTGTAAAGTAATTAAATGTCTGGTACCCTGTGGATACTCAACAAAGAGTAGCTACTATGGATCTAATGATGATTTCTTTGACCTTTCTCCCCTAGCGAGTGGCTTTAAGCCTTGAAGATGATGGACTACCCTGAGGATGGGACCACTCTCTTCGTGCCTCATGGAATTCAGTCCCATGCACTACACTCTCTGTATGGTTTATGACTGAACGGATGGTTTCTGTATATGGGTCTGTGTGAGTGTGTGTGTGTGTGTGTGTGTATGTGAGTGTGTGTGTAATTTTTTCTTAATTTATGTTGCAGAAAGGTAACCACAAAGTTATGATGAACTGCAAACATCCAAAGGATGTGAGAGTTTTTATATGTATAATGTTTTATACACTTTTTAACTGGTTGCACTACCCATGAGGAATTCATGGAATGGCTACTGCTGAGTGATTAACATAATGTACATAACGGAACTGGGCCTGGTGGTACAGTGGCTTACTCACCATTTAAAAACTATATTTACAGAGGATGTTTGGTTTCTTGGGGTTTTTTAGGTTTGGGGGGTTTTGTTTTTTTTGTAAATAAAATAATTATGCTTTGTGGCTATCCATCAACATAAGTAAAAAAAGAAAAGAAAAAACAAAAACGCTTCAACCCCCTTCCCCATTTAGATTATTTATTAACATATTTCAAAAATAAGATTAGTTCTATAAACAATTTAGAAAAGTGAGAGTATTTATTTTTGGTATGCTTGGCTCTCCATGCAGACTGTGTGTGTGTGTGTTTCTGTTTCTGTTTCTGTGTGTGTGAGAGAGAAAAATCTGTAGAAAAGAGTGCTCACGTATGGTTATTGTTCAAATACACAAAGATAGATATATTTTAAAACAGTCCACAAGAGGGTTATCTGTAGTTTTCAGAGAAGCCTTCAGAAATTTGGCTCAGAAGGCAGATACCATGGATTGTGCAAACACCTAGTGAAAGAGGCAGATCTTTTCCACCTCTGGCTATTCCTGAGGCTCCAGTCAGTCCGGAGAAGCCCTCCAGCTCACCCATGGCTGCGGTGACTCCTACCTGGGCTTTCTGTTCTGTGGCTAAGGCCACTGTGCAGACTTTATACAGTTCCAGAAGCACCTGTGAGCTCAAGTCAGAACATGCCAGCACCTCAGCTGCTCCTAGTTTTAAAAGTTCAGCTCTTTGAGTAACTAATTTCCTTCTGGGCACTTGGGTTGAAATCACTAAGTGTCCTCTGCAGCACCCTGAAGGGTGCCATCCTTACGTGCAGAGCTAAGAATGTTTCCAGGACAGGCCAAGTTGTCCCTAGGGACCGGCTCAGCACGGGAAGTCTTAGACGAGCTGTGGCTGAGATTAGGATGGTGGGATAGGTTTTACTACATCTCTGTTTCTCCCTTCTCCTGACTTTCTGCCATTTCCTTTTGGTGAGGAAAACATTTTAAAGTAATACATAGGTTTCTTACCATCATGTGTTCATATAGATAAAACTAATTTTTGGCTTAAGTCAGAAAAGGTAGCCAGACCAGAAGTCATATTTGAGAGGGGAAATGGCATACGCAATATTATAGTACATTGGACACATAGGTTCACGCAGGGATTTGGTTTACTGCTTTGTAAATAAAAGGAGAAACTCTGGGTGTATGTATAGAGTTTTTTTTTTATTATAGGCACTTTCTTTGTTTTCCTTGGGCCATGGTGGGCAGGAAGAAGTGCTGTTTTCTCTTTATGGGGGTCTACCATTGAAAACATAATCCTGCAGTCCCAGGAGGA